GAATTATGGTGATCAGTAACATAGTGCTGTAATCATCGAAGAAACAAAGACTATTGGTACATGAACTATTACTATGACAATTAGAAGGATCAAAAACCTGTTTTCATGCTTTACTGAGTCAATCAGGCTGAAAAATACACTACAGCTGGGAGTCTCAGCAAAGTCGTTCTTGTGACCTAAGAATCAGTGATGGTATCGGTTCGTGTCTTTTTGGAACAGAACCAAATCGAACCGAAAAAATCTCAAACCGAACCGATTAAAAAATAAAGAAAACAAAATTTATCAGTTTCTAATATTTTTTCAGAATATTCACTTACAACAATTTATTGAAGACATGCTTATAACGCTTTCGATAGTTCTAAGAGTGACCTAGAAAAACAAGCTGCATACAATGTTAAAAACATAGATATTTTTGTTTTTATGTTAGAAATATTTTTCCATCGGAAAAGACTAGCGTATTTTTAGTGGCTAGCCAATTTTTTTGTTAATCAAGAACGACTCACTGCGTTTTCGTTCGTCGTTCAGTGTAAAGGGCACAACTTGTTTCAACTAGCAGGTTATTATTCTTTGAAGGGCATTCTGTGAAAATGTCATATAGCGTAGGTTTTGAGAAATAATTTATATATGTCATAATTTCTAGCCATTACTCTGTATTTTTCTAGTTTATGATTTCGGAGAGATGGGGCACTTTAAAATAATAAACTAATGAGGAGGGGAAGCCCACCTATTGAAAAAGAAAGTGTTGCTCTTCAAAATATAATGCTTTCGTCGAAATTGTAAACTTCATTTCGTCTTTTACAGTTTGAAAAGTAATAACCACTATGACTGACTAAACTTGAAAGGTCTGAAAATCTCAGTAAAGCTATCCGTTTTAAGACATTAATTAGATAATTTTTTCTAACTTTATTGCCGTCTGCTAAAGATTATTTTGAAGTTCAAAACAAAGCGAGGTTTAATTAATGCATTAAAAACTAATACAAATTGATAATCAATTAATATTTACTTATATATATATATATATGAGTGCTTTCTATTGAAATGTTGTCTGTAAAATTATGTACTGAACGATGAACAAAAATATTGTTCGTTACTGAAGATTTATGAAACAGATGAGTGAACAATAAAGATGTGCTATACTTTCTTCATTCACTTTTAGTAGACAAGTTAACAAATATGTTAAAATATATATTTAGATGCAATCGGATCCGGATATTTGGAACCGACCGAATTTTTCAAAATTTCGAACCGAACCGATTTCGGTTCGGTTTGAAACAAAACCGATCCCATCACTGCTAAGAATGCAAAATCAAGAGATCTCTTGAATTAGGTGTGGTAGAGGACACTCTTGGCTACCTAGACATGCAAAAAAAGATCACTAAACCTAAAAAAAAAGAAAAACCTGAGCTATGTCAAGATTTCAGAGACATCCTTGGGAAAGCAAACCTTCGCTATCATTTTGAACTAATTCTTCACATGTTAACATGCAACCGAGAGTTGGTTATCGATCTGTAAAACCACAGATTCCTATCTCTTTCCATTCTATAGTTATTCAAAAAACAGTCACATTCATTGCGTTTTGAAAATGAAAATAGAAAGTTTATGCATTTGCATCAATAACCTTCTGCATTGATCATGAAAAATACTTTTCGAAAATATTTTTAGGCACAAGTGAAGAAATCTTTTGGAGTTTTAGGGCATTAAGTTTCAAGAAAAAATAGCTATTATTTTGCTAGAGGCAATACTCAAAAAAAAGATGCTTTAATAATCCTTTTCGAATTCTAGATTTGAGTACCATTTTATGAACTTCTTTAACGTCAAGATTTCTCGACCAGAACTTAAAAACGTGTCAACCGGACACTATTAAACCTCAAAAGGTTCTAGAGATTTTGACTGGAACTTAAATTGTTCAGAAAATGCTTCTCAAATCTAGAATTCTGGAAGGGTTATTATGACACCTTTCTTTTGTAGAGAATAAATGAGATGAAATACCGTTCATTTTTTGGGTATCGAACATCATTCAACAAAATTACAGTATTATGTAGAGGGTAGGCTAAAAGGAAGGTAATACCGAATTTTTTTCAGCTTTTCGTTGCAGATCGATAGTTTAGTATCATATTTGGACCACATACACTATTTGATAGAACTCAGAAAATCAAGGTATCATGAATCTTTAGACCTGACATTTTTCAGAGAAACTTCAATTGTATTTCATACACTTCTCAATGTCTCACTAAAATTTTCTCTTTTACAATAGAAGTTAATTAATTTTTTTGGTTGAATCAAGTTCTTTAGTAGTTTTGTATCCAACTAGTCTCAAAAAAGCATCAGATCAATGGAAATTCCAATCATCGTATACATTCTCATGCAAACAGGCAAAAAGATAGCAATATGATGAGACACAACTGGAAACTTTTGAAATAATCAGTGTAAAGAACGCAAGAGACATTCGTACAGTATTCAACAATTGTTACGACCAAAGGCTAGTTATAGGATAATTCTTTGAGTATTGCGATCTGGCTATATGCGGTCCAAATATGAGACCTAACTAATGCTCTGTAAAGAAAAAACTGAAATAAATTCGTTGTTTCCATGCTTTTGATCTATCCGATTTGATTACTTTACATGTTATATAAAAACCACGTTGGATTCGTTGACAAATAGGGTCTAATAAAAAATACTACTCAGAAAATCCATACTTAATACTATCTGTTTTGTGAAACTCACATATATTTTCAAAGAAAATCGTGAGTGTAAGTTTTATATTCAAGTTTTCCGGCTTTCTTCCTCTCCCACCCCATTATAGACATCTAGCAACGGAAACCCGCATTACAGACTCTTCTCCTATCTCCATTACAGATCTCAACAAGCGCACGCAACAGGCTTCAGATTTATTTATTAATAAATATAAAAGGAGTTGAACAGTATAAAGAACATGAGCTCGACTATTATACAATATTTCGACGCCTTCATTAATATTTGAAAAACTATAATATACTTGTTAATAAGCTCTTAGTAGCGAAATTGTGGACTTTTTTTTAGAATTTAAACTTATATTTTAAAAATGAAGAATAAAGATTAGTAATAGATTGATCTGTCATAGCAATCATATAATCAACATGAAAAGCATAATTCGAACTTTGTATCAGTTTACAAAATAAACGATATCACCGTTTATGAGTTGATTCAGATATATACTAGTGCGTTAAGAGCTGCGGATGCATATATAGTGTATTATTATGACAGTCTAATTTATGAGATAGTCGATGGTGGAAAAAAATAATAATGTCAAATTAAGAAAAAAAAACAATAAAATGACTAATATCGAGTGCATAACAACAATTGTAAACGAAATCGGGCACTCTCAAACAATACAAATTTCTGTTTTAAATGTAGAAATAAATAATAAGGTCTAACTCTTGTAAACAATTATCAATAAAAACAACTAGTGTACAAGAAATTTTTCAGTTTACATATGATGTATAGAATATTAAGATTTAAGGATATCTGTGAGTTTCACATTTCAGTGTCAAAGGAGCTGCGCTAACACACTTTTTTCTAGTCGGACGGATGTCGGCAAATTATATTTGTATTGACAACAATGACGACCTCCACATCATCTTAAATTCAGTCAAATTTCAATTAGAGTGAAACAAAACTTAATGTATGAGATCAGCTCTTTATTCTACTCTTGTCAATAATTTTTAATTTTCAAGTCTTTAAAGAAGTATCTTTAATTTTGCCTAAAGCTCAACTTTGTCTGACACGTTAAAAAAGGTCTAGACCGAAACGTATATTATAAAACTAAGATACTCTCGCATTTTAAAGCCATAACCAGTAGAATTTTAAAATGACATTATTTTTTTCATGAATGAGTACCAAGTCGATGTCCCATTGTTTATCATTTTCAGTTAAACATGAAAAGGACACATATGTTGCCGTACGAGATTAAAATTGGCTTGGAGTTTTCGATTTCAACTTCGAGAAATTTTAATGACTAATATGATCAAATCATGATCGAACAGCCATCTTAGCGAAAAGAGAGGAGTGCGTTGAGCAGTCGCATTCTTCTCGTTCGAGAAATTTCACAGAGGAGGTGACTGTCAAAATATGAGTCAAGATTCTCATCAAGGTGCGGACTGGTCGCGCGCGAAGTGCCCGCTTCCACTGTGCCTGAACCTGTGCATGTGTCCGATATACACATTTACGTGAACAATATTGCACAGAAAATCGTTTGCTTGAGGAAGGTATTGTAATAAATATGAATGTAAGTGTAGTGGAGAAGTGACAACATGATTTATCATTGAACATCACCATTTCTTTGCATGTCATTGATAATTTATGATGAATAGAATGTGTTTAATTTTATAAATATGCATTATTATTAGTTAGGGCTGTAGGACAAAGTATGCATGTGAGCACATACAAAGATTCGAGAAAGGAGAAAAAAGAAATACAATTAAATAGATACAAAAAATCCATAACATATGTACGTAAATGTTTAGTACTAGTGATGTTGGTAGTATTGGTACAGATGCGATCTTAGCCGCATGCTGCCGATATGGAATCCACTACATCTTCATAAGAATTACAATAAGTCTTCATGCGTTCTAGAATAACATACATGGATAGATGTTATCTTGATTAGTATTTGAAAATTAAAGAAGTAGTATTATTCAGTAATGATAAATTTTAGTCAAACAAACAAATTGATTTTTTATTTTATTAATATTTTGTTAATAACACTCGCCACTCAGAGTCTTTTTTTTTTACAAGACAGAGACATTTTCTAGTATTGCCAAAATGTGCAAATAGACGTGTTTAATTAGTGTCATGCCTTTTTAACCAAGCATTGTATGAATCAATATTACTTCATCAGTCAATAAAAGTTATATTAGTAGTGAGAATGGTAAAAAAATATATAAGAAGAAAAACATTTCAAGATTTTTCATTTTTAAGTCATCATTTTCGATAAACTCGATAGGTTACATATTTTGTTTTTTTTATAGCCGTGCATTAAAATGTGCAACTAAGCAGCATAAAATATATAACAAAAAAAGAAATATTAATAATTTAAAAGGAGATATTATTTTGGTTGAAAACCATGGGATGATTCATGCATAGATTAGATGAAGAAAACATGTTCACTTGTTAATAGCACGACGACGACAAAGAGTTCCATGCAAAACATCTTGAATACTACAATAGGTGAAGCGTTCTAAATAATAGAGTGTGTTGAAAAATGTTACTAGGTGAGTTAGTCAATAAGCAATAGTGCATTCAAACAAAAACTATCTATAATAATAAAATAAAAAGTTATGCTTACTTTTTATTTCTTGAAATCGGTTACGATTTGGCTCAGATAAAAATTGAAGATATTCACGGATCTTAATATAATGAAACAAAAAAGGAACAAAGAAAAGTTTGAACGAACTTGTTTATACAAAAAAAAAAGTATAATATGCTTACTAATTCTTGTTTGACAAAAGCTTGCTGTTTTCTTTTGGCAGCGCGTTGTTCAGCATTTGATGTCAACAGAAAACGTCTTAACTTATTTAAATCATATATTCGTTGTTGTTCTTGTGCATCAGAATTATCATCATCATCGACAGTCATGTCAGTTTGAGGAAGATTCCGTGAGGAAGCTACGGCTCGAGATAATTCCATCATTGACATAAGTACAATGGCAATTAAGAGAAAATCAATACGTGTACAAAATGTTAAAAATTTCGTCATCTTGATTTTTATTTTTGTTAAAGATGTGTGAGACAAAGCAAAACAAAAAGAAATGGATTCGTGGGTTGAAAATGAATCTATAACAAAACTTTTACAAATATATATGTTTGTCTCATGTACATTTAATAACGACGAAACAACTTAGCGCAATACTAAATAAACAAAAGATACATGCAGAATAGACGTGACGGAGAAAATAAAAGTTTTGCAACATTGATTCATACAGGTAAAGTAGAACTGACTATTTGTTGTATTTATGTATATATATATATATATATA